TTGTTTTCCTAACATTCCCCAAATCTAAACAAGTATCTTATCAGGCAGAAATAGATTTTAATTAAAACAATGCTAAACAGTCAACACTTCATTCATGGAAATTTACACCTGCAACATTCCATTTATTATGATAAAGTTATCTTTTAGATATTTCAAATAAGTGCAAAATCTCAAGTGTTCATTATTCCTTGTAGCCACTGTTTGTTGTTATAAAAAGCAGCACTTTGTGCAGAAACATTTTCTAATGTATATTTATCAAAGTTTATAAATTATTATGATCACTGAGTTTTTTTTTACAATCAAATTAGCATGCTGCTTTTTTTATATCTTATTGTTTATCCAATACAAGGCTCAAGAGCTACTCAAGTCAGAGGGTTACTGAATAAAGTTAGTTTTAAGGGCCCAAGTAGAAGTAAGATGTGCATATTATTAGTATACATAAGATACAGTTGACACTAGATTTGAAGTGGGTAAGATTGCAGTGATCAGGAAAGCATCCTCTCAGGAATCTGTTCCATAGTTCTGAGGAAGATGCTGATTGTGACTTCCTCCTTACCAATGGAATACAAAAGGAATGAGGTAAGTCGATCCTGTGTCCATGGCATGCTGAATTCTAGCCATGAAGGTTTCAACTGATGAAATTAAGGGATGAAGCGTGTCTGCTTATCTTGATTATGTCTTTAGCTAAAGTGAATAGAAGTTATTGAAGCTGTGGACAAATTTTAATGTGAGGGTCACTCCATAAATATTTAAGTCATTAATTGTCCTTTTCCTATTGAAACATGTACAGTGAGTCTGAGACATAATCCATTTTGTTGACGTATTTCAAAAACAATATCATATACTTCATATAAAGAGCATCAGGTAAAATATCAACTGAAGGGCAAAAAAATAAAATAAAATAATTGTCCCTATAAAAATTTGTCGCTGTAAGAAATTCTCTATCAAAATCCTTTGAAATTCTTTGCTAACACATTTTTTTTCTGAAGTTTCATCTTGTGGGGTTCTGCTAATCAAGTGACAAAATTCTTGAGTTAAGAAAAAGAATAAAAGATTGTTTTCTTAAAAATAATTTAAATGAATTTTAAAAGAATAAATATTTTAAGTGATACCTTAAAACTGGTTCACTCTGATTTTTTTTTCGTGGGGGTATTATATTTTTGAACTGCATTTGAATATATAATTTTCACAGCTATAAATTTTTTTCTTGTGAAAGGAAGGTTAGGTAATACATAAGTTTGGTTCAGATCTATATACACACATTTTAAGAATGTGTACACATACAAGTTCTTTTTTTTATATAGTAAATTAAATCATTGTTCATGTATTTATTGATTTTTAATATTCATCAAAATTAAATTTCACAAAGAAATGTAGGATATTTTTTAAAAGAATGATTTATGTTAAACAATTCCATTTTTTTAAATTAGTTTTTGAATTGATGGAGAAACATTTAATTTCTGAAAGCATTTAAGTAAAAGTAAATTACAAAAGTCAATATTCTTGCTGTAAATATTGAACTTCATAATTCCAAAAATATTTTAACATCAGTTATAAGGATTGAAACTTCTGATATCATTAAAGTTTTTTTTTTCTGTAATTTAAAAATGGGTTGTACTATTGTTCAACATAAAATTTATTTTTCATTTTAACACATTCCCTGGCAAAGGACATTTTTCACTACTTTATCTGAAGATGCTAAGATGCGTCTCAATTTTATTATTATTGTTATTAATACTATTATTATTTTTTTTTGTTTTTGATTTTAAATTGTTAGCTTTTTGTTTGTAGTTATTTTACAATCAGGTATATGACTATAATATATTGGTTAAATAATTTCTTCATTTATAAAGTTCATACATAAATCCATTCCCCATTCCAACTTAACAAATATTTACCATTATTTTACTCGGGTAATGACCATAAAAACATAAAAAACAGAATTAATTTTATATAAGCAAAAAAAAAAAAGAAGATAATAACAGAACATTTGTCAACTTATTTGTCAAATTAGTTTATTTTTATATATAAGAATTCAGTCTGACTTGACAGGCTGCTGCTGCTGGTAATAATAAGTTTTTATTATCCATGAAAAAAGATTTATAGTCATAATTATAAAAAAAGGGGGGGGCGTTTTTAAAATAGAAACTAAAATAATGTTTGTATGATTTTACAACAAAAATTAAACTGTTACCCCATGATACAAATGTTTGTGAAAAAATAGTTGAACACCAAATACTTTGCAAAAGACAAAGATTCAACAGAGTGATTAGAAAGTTAATAATAAGGACAAGATATAGCCCAAATTAATTGAATACCATCCTAAAATAACCAGACATTATGGTCTACTAAAAATGCACAAAGCAGGCAGTCCAGTGTGACCCATCATATCTAGAATTGAAAGTGTTTCATGTACATGAGCAAAAGCTAGAGCAAAAATTTTAACACCATTTCTTGGGACAATTAACTCTACACATATTAAAAATACCACAAGACTATATACTAAAATGCTGCAATAATACATTTGTCTGTTTGTAACCTTCTTTAAGGATACAACACATACATACACAAACAGTAAATGTTATGGTCTTGTGATTTTATTAACAAGCATACATGTACCTAAAATTTTCATAGCAACAGAACCATGAAGCTTTTAATTATATGTATTATATATATATGTTTGTACCATGCCACACAAACAAGAGAACCTGAGTCATGGCTGTCAGACAATTTCTGTGACCACACCACCCCTTACAGCTGGCCACCTAACTCCCCAGACTGCAACCCCCTTTATTATTATGTGGACTGAAAGCAAGTATTATGGTAGCATTCACCAACTTAAACAAGGAGACCATCCAGAAGAGTTGTAGGAGATTCTGAAGTCATCTGGAGGCTATGATTGAAGCCAATGGCGATTTTATTGAATAAACTTACTCTTTAGTATTTCAAGATATTTTTGTGTAATTTTTGTAAATATATCTGTTAAAATGAGATGTCAGTGTTATCTTCATTTTTGCATAATTTAGATGACAATGTATCCATCACACCCATATATATATATATATATATATATATATATATAAAGTGTACACTGAAATACTAAATTATGAAAATAAGTATGAACCTACCATGAAAACAGTATTCATAGCAACCACAAGTCTACAAGTGGAAAAACAAGGAAATAAAATTAACAGAGAACTTTCAGGATCAAATACCACTTAGCTGGAATTTAGGGAATTCAGGTTGTATGTTTATATAGGCAAGATGAGCAAGTCAGTTACAAGCCAGTTATAGAGGGTGATGAACCAGCCATTGAGATGTAGAGACAGTTTCAGTCAGAGATTGACAGAGTGGCATTTAGGTTCTTGCCAACCAAAGGGATGTTCTGATATGTTGTTCTGTAATGATAGAAGAGAGAAGTAGCAGTGAAAATATTGCAAGTATCACCTCCTTACTCCCAGGTGTATCTGTGAATGACAAAAAAAAAAAAAAATGAAATTTTTACACACCAGAATGCAGCATCTTTTTTTTTTTCTCTGCTTCACTCTTCCTTGTTTCTTATGTTGCTTTTTATCCACACACACACCAATTATTATAAGATGATCGTGTTAATTATCCTCTTCTCTTTTCATCAGCTCTGAAAATTTAAAGCCCTGTTATTTTTTATTTAATCATTTCACCTTCAGCAAGGCAATAAAGCCACTAAGATGCAAGGAGTCACTGAGTGTTAGAGATTATGAGAAATAAAAGAAAACATACTATTATGGAAAGAGAACAATATTAGCAGAGCTTAGAATATGCTAACAACATCTCATTTAGAAATAAGACCCCTTCCTCATAAAAAGGGCTACCTTTTATGTGGATGCTTGCCAACTAGAGTATAAACCCAACTAATGTCTACTCTATGATTTAAGTGGAAACTAAACTGCAGTAGTAGTCTAATTTAAATATGTGAAGAGTGAAGATTATAAATAGTCTCCTCAAGACAAGAAGAAGGTTGTCCATATTCATTTTGTGTATCATCCATTACAATATATAACTTTATAACATGGACCGATGTCTGCCTTTTCTGTGTAAACCAGACCTAATGTCTACCTGTTTATTAATTCAGTTATTTTTGTCCTGTAAAGACTTATATTCAACATTAAATAACTCAACACTGGTTGATATTTTGTTAAAACTAACCTGAAAATTTATTGGAATCCTGAGAATTATTTTTAACTTTTGTGTGTTAGGATTTTTTTTTTGTTGGAACCTCAAATTTTGTGTCCTTCCTTTAAGTTGTCTATCATAGAGCTTTACTTGGCTGAGTCTTGTTCCTCTATTCTAGCACAATGTTCAATGAGATTGCACTAACTGATGCCATACTGTCAGTCCAAAAAGTATAACCCATTGACATGACTTGACTCAAAGTTGTTATCTTTGATCATGTCATAGCCTTCTTCATTAGAACATCTAAATTATATCAATGAATCAGCTGCTACAGTTTTTCCAGAACTTTATTTTGTAAGGTTATCTAGTATTGCCTGGATTAATAAAGATTTTCAAATCATCATTAATTTTTATTGACTATTTTTTATCAGCTCCATTCTTAATGTGTATGCTGAATGTGAAGTAGTGAATGTGTTTTTTCTTATAGTGAAGAGGAAAAATGCCTTTTTGTTTTTGAAAGATTAAAGCCTGTCTTTTGTCTTTCATTAAAGTTATTTGAATCTTATTTCTTTTATGAATTCCAATTAGTCCAGTTGGGTTGAGGACTTCTCAGCAGCCACTAATAATAGGTAATTTTTCACCTAGTGTATGTGCTCACCTGGGGACATACGGGTAGGTCTGTCAAGTAAAACTGGGAAATATGCCCTTTTATATAATAAATTCAAGAAGTGATGAAATTTTCTTTTATTAAACTCTCTTTATGAGTGAATAACAAAATATGGAGCAGCAATAAGCCCATTCATTTTACTTGTCTTAATTTTCTTTTGTACCCACTCTCCCTGAGGTTACAGCCACATCACATTGAAACACCAGTTCCTGTATGATCACTGAAGTTAAACAACATCAAGCCTGACCAGTACTTAGATGGGTAACTGTTTGGGAATACCAGGTGCTGTAATCTTGAATGTGTGGTTGGTCTAATAGATAATGGCTTGGAATTGTTAATCAGGGAGCTGAGTTCCAATTCCGGTTGAGTTCATTATATTCACTTACGTGCAAATACTTTTGGGATAGGTATGAATCCACCTCATTCCCCCCCCAGCTATGGATTAATTAGTAAGAGTTGTATCACTAAAACCATTATTATCTCAAAAAAAAATCTTGGCATTACATAACCCACAGAGGTTGATATGTTGCTAAACAAAAATAACCAACTAACCATCTTCTTGTTACTCCATATTCAACTCTTAGAGAACCAAGTGTATCTTGCGATGTCACTTAAGCAAAAAAAAAAAAAGAACACAAACACAGTTATAGGTTGACCATAAACAAGGTTATAGATTCATTGTGAACTTTATGATCTTGTTGATGAGTGCATAGTATGTGTTTTGTCAGGGCTACATACAGTTTTATATTCAGAGTTTCCCTTCTCCTATACTGTTTACCACTCAAGGCTGAAGAGCCAAGTCTTACTTATTATTATTTAACTCATAGCTAGGGAGAAAGAGATGGATTCATATCTTTCCCAAGAATATTTGCATAAAAGTGAATGTAACAAACTTGACTGAAAATTATTTTCTCCAGAAAAAAAAAAATCAACTTCTCCCCATTTCTAAGGCAAATGCTTACATGTATCATCTTCTGTAGGGAAAATGGTTGAGGTACCTTCAATGAAAAATTACCTTAAATTTTTTAGTAGTGTAGCCTACTTTATGATGAGCCATATCTCATGTAACCCACTGCTTATAAAAGGTTGCCCATGCCTCACTTAGTACATTTTTGAATACAAGATTTTCATTGGTTAGAAAATAATTTCACACTGGTTCGCAAAAATATTTTTCTTGAATTTGTGGGAGTGGTGAAGGGAGTTATTATTGTTACTTTCTAAATGGTCCAAAAATAACATGTGGTAGGTCTACAACTATGTCCACAAGTATATTGGTAGTATTTGCCCTTGTAATGATTGTTGTTTATCAAACAAAACTTCTGATGGGATTTTATTGGTTGAAAAATATATATGGGATTTAATTTCAATACCATAAAACAGATTTGGTATTTAATGGACCTTATTACAGGGGTGACATTAAGCCTGGCTTTTTCTCAAAATTTGACTTTACCTGAATTTAACACCGTCTGAATTTTGAAAAAAAAAAAAAAGCATCTTTTTTTTCAATGTTTAAGTATTTTTAAAACTGTATGCAAACCTGTTTTATTTTATTTTTTAGTTCTTCAAAGAAAGGAACAAGAAAGGCTTTATCAACAAAAACAGAAAAAGGTCACCAGTTCACCCTCATTAGAAGAATGGCTAGAAAAGAGAGCCAAGCATCCTGTGAAAAAAGTCAGCACCAAAGTGGTCTTTCCACAGTGGTCTCTACCACCCAATCTTCGACATGTACCAAATTTACCACCGTCTCTTTTGGCACCATCAATGCAAGATTTCAACCTTGATAAAATCGACTGGGGATAATTATCAGAAAACTGCTTGTAAAATTTGTCAATAAAATTTTCAGTTTTTTATTTTTTTTATATTTCTTACCAAATTTCACAATTGAAAAGAGTTTGTTGTAGATGTTCTCTGATGTGGTCGGCTTTATCTGAATGTACTTTTTTTTATGTATGTACATGTAATTTTATTTAGGGGTTTAAAAAGTCATCATGAGTCCCACAAAAAAAAAATATAAATTGAAAAGAAATCATATACAAGATTCAATACAATAAGCATAAACAAAAATGATAAAAGGCTTTCATATTGTTATAGTGTAACACACCTATTCTATAGTTAATAGACTCTCCCACCTATAATAAGTAGGAGTAGTAATAGTAACGAAGGGTCGCTCAATGGGTTGGTCAGTCAGTCAGTCGATGTCGGACGACAGTTAGTCGGATACTAAAGTATCAGCGACCACAGGTAGATTTCTCTGCGTCATACCTATTATATGAAGTTCCTAACGTTTTGTACGTCGAACCTATTTTAGGACCGACTTAGTACAAATACAAGCCTCCACTGTGAAATCACTCCATAACACATATACATTTTTATATACATTGTTGTTTTTCTTTCTTATCCTACCAAATAGCTGCATAATTTAATGCATAAGCAAAAACTTGTGTTAATTTGTATATTTAATTAGGTTTTTTATCACTAGCATTGTGAAGTGCAATACAATTAAATGCACTTCCCCCCTCCCCTCCAAAACATTTAACTTCTTAACATATATCACCTAGGATTAAAACATTTTTTCTCTGTATTGATTTATTAAATTATCTGTAACAGAGTACAGGAAACTCTTGATTAGTGTGGCTAATGTGTGTATTAAAAGATACGCACTACTTGAAAACACATTAATCGAACTTATAGGAAATTATATAATTTGTACCTCAAATTTTAGTCTCATTCAAAATTAATTTCTAATTTGCATACTTTTTAATTAAAATATAGGGACATATAAGAAGATACAAGAAAAATGCTAAGAATTAAAGTCTGTTAATCTGATTTTTTATGAAAAACTTATTTAGAGGTAATTTGCCACATGGTATTCTTCTGTTCTTCATATCATTGGTGGTACTGAGAAATTGCACCTTCAAATTTTCTAAACATAATCATTAGTATTTTAACATGAAAGTTTTATTTATAATCTTTCTATAGTAAATGTATACATCTTTTATATTTCGATATGTTTTAATAAATGTAAATTCCTTTATCTAATTAAATCGTCCATGATTTTTTAACAAAAAATCAGATATTTCTTTTTAAGACCTTCAAAATAAACGTGAAAAAAAATCAAAATATTAAAAAAATTTTAATAGAGACAAATATTCAAATATGTATTATTATTATCAGCTTATATTAAAAAATTATTTATTTATAACTCTCCATTTTTTTTTAACATTACTGTAATTATTTAGATAATGTAATACTTGACTCACAAAATAGTTAAGCCATTTTTAAATTTTAGAAAAGTTTTTAAAAATTTGTAATTATAAAAAAATCAATTTTCAATTACTATGATTAAACTGAAGATTGTTTTACCACACTAATCGAGTACTGTGTATGCACTAATTGAATTTTGGTATATAAAAATTTTAGCACAGTTATCATATGGACATTAAAGGATTTCTGTATGATGAAATGAATATTTTTAGTTTAATTGGTAATTATGTTTTCATGTTAGTTGGTTAGATTTTTGTTGGAACAAGAGCATTTGGTGAAATTAAAATTCATTATAAGAAACTTGTATGGCAGCTTTTCAATCATTGTATGGCTGCTCATTTGAAATATACCATTTAATATTGATAAGGTTTTTCTAAGATTCATCATGATCAAGATCATCAAAGTTTGGCTAACTCCAGAGGCATCACAGATGATTTAGCAATCAGCTCCTTCCATTTCTCTCTATATTGGAATTATAGTTATATAGGAAATAAACCCTATTTCTAACACGAATTACAGACCCACATACATACCATATTAAAACACATCTAAACTTTATTTTCTACCCAATAACAAAAAATATTACAAACATATCAAAAAAATTCCATAATACAACACACTGTTTAGATCGAAGTATTGTGGTAAAGGGACCAAAGATTCTTAGCAATATTTATCAGAAACTTCGGATCTAAACAAACAGAATTAAAGGTATAAACAAATAATATATATTTATTTGACTTTGATTGGAGGAAGTCCTTTGTAATTTGGGGTAGTGAAAGTTCATCTATAAATCAGATATTGGTAGCAGTTGGGAGAAAGTCCATTTTGGCTTGGTAGTTGAGAGTTCAGAAGTCAGGCCTTGGTAGTAGTTGTCATCTTGTGTGGTATAAACCTGTTTTGTCAGCCCTCAGAAGGGCAGAAAAATGTCTTACACAGATGACCGCTTAACTTCTTTATGCAATGTGCTTGGCTGGTTTCCCTAGTGATCTCTCTTTCTGCCTCTGAGCTGTCCATTTATATCCCTATTGATGGGGTGCCAAACTAATTGTGTGAAGTTTGGTTTCAGGCTGACAGTAAAAGTCACTTTGTTTTCTTTTGATTGGCCAAAATTATTTTATTTTCTGGCATTCCTTTCTTTTTTCATTTTTTTTATAGCAGAAGTTATACATGGAGCCTCTCTTATTTTGGTAGATTTTTAGTCACAATGGCTAGACCCATGAACCAGCAAACTTCTGCCGTTTACAGCCATGTTCAGCTTACTTCCTCTTTTTTATTTGAGAATTGCCTTCTTGTTAGTTTAGAATGAAGTATAGAGAGAGAAGGGGGAGAGAGAGATATGGGTTTTAAAGGACAGATAGACAGAATTTGTCATTTATTTATTTAGAAGATTTGGGTTCACCACAGTAACTATTGATTATAAATTAACACTACCATATGAAATATTTCACCAATCAGAGAAAACTAAAACCCTGTTTTTCTCAAACCTTCTTTTGGGAAAAATTTCTTAAAATAACCACAGATTTTGACTTTCAGAGATCAGAAAAGCTGAACACAGTAGAGAGATGTGATTCTCTCCATACCATTGAGAGCACCATGCTTTTTCATTTCCCCACAGTGTGTGCGGAAAGATATATTGGTGACTTCAAACAAATTTTCTCTAACAATAACATAGATGGCCGTTCAGTGACTTCAAATGAATCATCTCCAACATCAACAAAGACGGTCAGTGAATTTTCATAAACGATAAAAGTCATTTTTTTTCAAACACAGCTTTTTTCTGTGGGCCAACTATTTAAAAGTCTTGTCTAAAACACAGCAAATTTTATGAATCAACTCCACAAAGACTTTAACTCAATTAAAGATTATTTTGAATACTTTTTAACTCTTGAATTCATGTATATATGTTTGTAAATAGAAATAATTTATTTAACAGATATACCCATGTTTTCTTTATTTTTAGTTTGGAATTCAAGTATTCAGAGTTTTAAATAAAAAACCTGAATGACTGAATTTCCTCCACTTTTTCAC